GGCCCGCAGGCGCCCGTGGGCGCCGACCGCCAGCCCGCGACGGAGGATCCTGAAGACACGTCCCCGGCGCGGGTCGTGGCCAATGCGCGGAGCTTCGTCATCAGCGGCGGAGGCAGCAGCGCTGTCACAGAAAACAGGCTGCATTCGTAAGGTGGCAGGAGAAAGCCAGCCCGGCGGCCCGGCGGGACGTCCCGGGGTGCGCCCATCCCCCAGGGACCCGGGGCTGCTCCCCGCTCCTCTCCTCGGAGCACCGAGGAGTCACAGCCGTGCCCAACGCCTCGACCTTGGTCGCACTGTTTGAAATGACAGTGCATCGACTGATGCTCCCTTGAAAATTAGAAAAAAGAAGAGCCGCCTGCTTCTGGGGCTGGAGCCCGCCGAGCGCCGAGATGGCCGTGCTCGCATCTGCTGCTCATGACTCTCCCTCTGTTCTCCCCGGCCCAACAGCCCAGAGGGAACAGGCTGTCAGCTGCCCACCCATCCCCTCCTTTTTTTTTTTTATCATATTGAAAGGGCTGCCCTGAACATTGCGGACAGCCCGGCCCGGGACAGGGTGCAGAGAGACAGGACATCAGCTTGGCCACGGCTCCAGTTAGGAGTCTGAAAGACGGAATGTCCCCCGTGCCGCCCGACGCCTTGACAAGGGGAGGAACTTTAAAGGGTCAAAACCAGAGGTGAATGTGTCCCTTCCTATTTATGATACTTGGTCTTCTACTTGCTGCTGCTGTCATGTGANATGTCCCCCGTGCCGCCGGACGCCTTGACAAGGGGAGGAACTTTAAAGGGTCAAAACCAGAGGTGAATGTGTCCCTTCCTATTTATGATACTTGGTCTTCTACTTGCTGCTGCTGTCATGTGACATCTAGAAGGTTCCTCCTGTACCAATATATCTGGGTTGGTCCAGAATGTGATAGTGATGCCATGTTTAGATTCCAGGATGATACAGAATCACCTCAAATGGTTGGGAAAGGACTGCGGAACTTCAGTGAGCTGTATCTGTCATTAATATTGCTATATGTACCTTTCTCCTTAAGAAAACGCTTCTGTTGTAACGGTCCGTGGACAATATAAACTGAGAAAAGTCACAGTTTGCTTAATATAAGGCAGTATTACTCAGCTCCATATTCCTTGTCTCCCCACCCCATGAGCTAAGCCCTATGTGAGCCCTTTCAGGACCCCAGGGGCCCCAAATCTCTCCCTGTCCTTGCCCCAAAGGCTGCCTGAGGCCAGATTTACCCTTGCCCCTGTAGAGGATAGGTTCTCAGTCGTTGGCCTCCTACCAGTTGCTGGGGTGAGAAGGTGTGGTTCCAAGAGAGCCCTCCCAGGGCATTAGCCTGACACTCTACCCCCAAATGCCATGCCATGTTCCCTCCAGCGGTGGAAGCCTGCCCATGGGTAGTTAAAGCGGCTGAATGGCATATTGCTGAGCATTCAGGCTCTAGAGCCAGAGAAACCTGGGTGCAAGCCCTGGGTTGGTCAGTTATAAGTTGGGTGAGCACAGACAGGGACCCCTCACCTTGCTAAGCCCCAGCTTCTTTGTCTCTAATATGGGGGTAATAATCATTCTTTTTTCCTCAGAGCTCTTATGTGGATTAAATGAGATAATGTATGGGTGGCTCTCTTTCTAGCACCCCTTGCCTTTCCTGACCCTCTTCCCCCAGGTTGGTTTTTCCTTGTCTCTCCCTTTCTTCTAAGCTCCAAGGGCCCTTCTTTTGCCTCTGTAACTTGTTTCCTGAGCCCTTTTCTTCCACAGCTCATTTCTCTACCTCTGTGACTTTCTAAATAAATTTTCTCTAATTAAAAAAATGAGATAATGTATGTAAAGTACTGTAGCATGGTGCCTAGCACATAGTAAGCACACAATAAATATTAGTTAATATTATTACTGATATTGTAATTATTTTTTCACTTGTTTAAAATACAAAACAAAGCTTGTTTATCATTCAGATTTTAATGACAAGCCCACTGATGACTTTCTCCATAATAAGCCCAAGAACTCAGGGCCCAGGTCAAGGTGTCAGCCCTAGTTATGTCGCTCTTGCTGAAGAAGCCAAGTCAGCACCCAGATCTCCAGCACCAAGGGAAGACTGTACCAGTCAGTAGTTTCTCAGATCATTCTAAATGCTGCTCATAAGCCAAGGCCAAATATAGCAATTATATCTGTGTGAGACCTCAAACTTTATAGCTTGTTCCTCTGACCACTTTCTTCCAAAGGGCTGCCTTTGCATGTGTTTTAAAGTAACCTATTGATATGCCAGTTGTTAATTTGGATGAAAAGACAATAGAGGGCGCTATGTGGGTGCATGACTGGTTTCACACAGGAAGACTCCGATGAGACATCTGCTCCCCCAGGCAGGCCCAGCCTGCTGCTCCTACCTTGGTCACACCTCCTGAGCAAGGCACAGAGCTGAATGAAGGCTCATATTTAGCATTTTACTTGGTCTTTTATAAAAAGGTGAAAGATTGATGGCTTGATTTTTATGTGTCAGAATAGTTATGTGGAAATAGCTATTAGCTATGCAAAATCACACACACTCATCCTGCCCAAGATTGACTTCACTGTGCAGCTCACCCATGTCGCTGATCTGAAGGAGGGGGCTCATCACGGAAAACACCGTTTACACCCAGCTTCATTTCACCAAGAGCTTGCAAATAAAGCAGTCTCTCCCACTATTCTTGTCAGAAAGGGAAACTCGATATCATTGTCCTCATTTACATGTAGCTGGGATAACTCAGCGCAAAATCAAGGGTGTGAAATATGAACTTGCATTATTTTTCTGTAACAGCCTAGTTTCTGTCTCAAATTCCCATTCAGCCTAGTGACAGAAACTTCATCTTAGTCAACATGAGATTTTTCTCAGTAACTTCAAATTTTCTGAATCAGAGTGGGCCTCTCATAGTATACCCATGCCAGAGTAAGTTGCAACCTCAAACCAATGTCCAACCTCCTTACCTGTGGGCTGTGAGCACTGAAGGGGGGTGTACAGTTTTCTGAATCAATTTAAATTTCTGGGGGTCTGACTTCAGAGGTTTCTTCCTCCTTCCTTCCAGGAGGGTTTTTTGTAGCGTAAAGAGGATGGGGTTCCTCAGACATGGGCAGCTGCTGTTGACATCTCTGAGAACATTCTTTTTTTTTTTTTAAATATATCTTTATTGATTTCAGAGAGAGGAAGGGAGAGGGAGAGAGAGAGAGAAACATCAATGATGAGAGACTCATTGATATGCTGCAGCCCGCAACCCGGGCAAGTGCCCTGACCAGAAATCGAACCCCAAACGCCTGGATCCTAGGTCAACACTCAACCGCTGAGCCACGCCCGGCCGGGCTCTGAGAACATTCTTATCTGGTCCCCCAGTAACTGACATGCCTTCATGCTAGCATCCTCTGAGGCACTGAATTCTCATATGGTCCCCAGTCATGGGATCCACAGTGATCTGCTCAGTTGCATTGCTTTGTCCCAACCGCTAAGCCCGTCCCAGGCCTACCAGTTCTCTCATGAGAGAGGGCACTGGGGCCTGGGAACTACAGGGCAGCTCTCAGGCCCTCCCTCCTAGCACCCTACACTGCCATGGCTGCTTGACTGCTGCCTCTCATGCTGGTATGAAGAATTCATGGAGGCTAACAAGCTTCCAGAAGAAAAATGGGACACATATCTCTAAACCTGTATAGGCATTTGTGGAAGGCCAAATAAGGGCCCCCAAAGATGCCCACATCCTAATCTCCAGAACCTATGATGATATGTTACATAGCAAGGATTACATATTAAGGCTGCAGATGGAATTAAAGTTGCTAATCAGCTGACCTTGAGATAGGAAATGATTCTGAATTATCCAGGTGGACCCAATGTAATCACAAGTCTCCTTAAAAGTGGAAGAGGGAAGCAGAAGAATCAGTGTCAGAGTGACTCAATGTGAAAATGACTCCACTGGCCATTGCTACCTTTGAATATGGAAGGAGGCCATGAGCAAGGAATGCAGGCGGCTTCTAGAAGTTGGAAAAAACAAAAATACCTATTCTCTCCAGTTTCCAGAAGGAACCAGCCCTGTCAACACCTTGATTTTAGCCCAATGAGACCCTTTTTGGAATTCTGGCCACCAGAACTATAAGATAACACATTTATGCTGTCTTCAGCCACTAAGTTTGTGGTAATCTGTTACAGCAGCAACAAGAAATTAGCACAACATTTTTATTGTCATCTCCTTCCCTGAGCATTGCCAGCTCAGGGAATAGGCCAGGGCCTTTCTCAGAGATCCACACCTGCTCTCTCTTTCGCTCCTTCTCTCTCCTCCCAGAAGAAAGTTCTGATAATATTCTTTTTCTCCAAATCTGTTTGGAGAAGTATAAATCTTGTTTTCTGAGTCTTTCTGGGTTTTGGTTTTAGATCATTAGCAACCATTTTCAATCTATTATCTGTTAGTCGTAGAAACTTAAAAAACAGTGGCTTCAACAAACCTGGGTTTGTTTTTCTTTTCTGTAAAATAGGTCAGAAGTTTTTTCTTTAGATTCTCTGGAAAGATTCCTTAGAGTCTTCTGGCAATGGGAAACTGTTTATCTTTCTTTTGAAAATAAAAATGAATTACACAGTATTAAAGATTTTCACTGAAATGAAAAAGTTTCCTAGAAGACTTTAAAATTTTATGTTGGAAGTTTAGAGGTAATGATTAGCATATAACACTCACCCTGAAACTCCCTATGATCATTAAAAGTTGCCTAATTGCATTAGCTTCAGTTCTGGGGAAGTTAGGGCTGCCCTACCTCTGTCTACAACAGTTGTGCTTAAGGGCGATGTTATTTCTCCTTTTGGCCTGACTAAAGTAATATAAGCTGTGGGCTAGCTCTGAATGGAGCCAGAGTTTCCCTCCTCTCATCTGCATTTGACTTATCAGTGATAGAAAAATAATAGAACATCAACAGGAGTGCTGGTTAATCACTAGAGGAGGTGGCCTGCATAGGTCTGAGCTAGCAGGTCATTTTAGGAGTCTATTGGAGACAAAGTCATCCCCCAAAGGTGGGTGGAATTGGGGTAGGTGGAAGAAAGTTATTGTAGTGAGGTCACTCCTGGAGACCCTGGATTTCCTATCCTTGATCATAAAAAAATACTAGGGGTTGAATGAGAACTTTGCTACTGTGCAAGGAGTGAAATAGGAGTCAG